GGAAATGAAATGGTCAATCATTTTAAAATAGAAGGAATTTTATTCTGACAACCAGCGGCATTGTAATCAGAATTGCAAGCCCAGTCCCGCCTTGCAAATTGTAATGAAAGCTATCAGATATTCATACACTCTCCGTCAAATTTCTATCTTTACTAAATCTATTCAACCAGTGCAGAAAGAAAACATATGCAACATATGTGACCAGAGAATGTGATTTCTGTTTATTTTTCTGAGAATCCAAATGAAAAAAGGATTCATATTTTTGTTCAACCTTTTTTTCACCTGAATAATGATTTTCTATATCATATAACAGTGATATGTTCGCAACTTTATATATCAGTTTCTTCGGTAATATTTTTTTATTTTTACTTCTTAACGTGAACTAAATTAAGGAATATTGGAGAGTACTAACCCAAGAAGGTCATTGTCCGAAGATTAGACTAATCCAACTCCAGTTCCTCCAAAAGTGAAAGGAAGATGACTGGAAATTTGGGTAAGTTTCATATCAAAATTTACTATTTTTTTTTTAGTTAGGAAAATATTTTTTAACGTTTTCCTTTTTCTTTTATTTGTAGTATTCGAGGACTTGGAATATATGTTGGTTAGTAAAAAAAAAATTCTCATTTTTTTTATATTAACTAACTGTTCATTTTGTTTTCATTTTTTAGGCGATTTTTCAAGTTTTTCTGGATATTACAGGACGTATGTCTAGCAAAGACAGAAATGGATAACGAAGCATATAGATAGGGATTATTATAAGCAGAATAATATTCCTACATTATTTGTAGCGATGTGAAAGATAATGATAAGTTGGTAAGTAAAAAAAAAAATTTTTTCAATTTTTTTTCTTAATTTTAATGAACTTATTATTAAGTACTAACTACCATCACCAGTAATATCAGCCGTAACAGTGCTATCACCAGTAATAGAGTTAATAATTTGAAAATGGTAGGTTTCATTGAGAAACTTCTCGTTTGTTTTCTTTTAGAAATTAAATAAATTAAATAACATTTTTATATTAGGTTATCTGGGCATTGATGAAAAAGTTAAGAATTTAAAGATGGTAAGTTGTATTGCGAAACTTATCATTTTTATTTCTTTATTTATTACATTTACTAATATTTTTAATTTTTTTATTTGTAGGTTCTGCCACTAAACTTCATATCGATTTTTTTATTTAGAATTTTCTTTGTAATTAAAATAGACTTTTTATAATTATTGTACTATATCTCATTAATTCAGAAAAAATGTAATAATATATATACTTCTCCGCTAATTAATTACGTCGTATTTCGGCGAACGGACCAATTCACTATTTATTATAAAATTACTATGAATTAATTACGTCTGTCAAAATACATTACGTCTGTCAAAATAAATTTAATTAGTATTTTGTCATTTTGACGAAAAGTATAATAATATATAATAGATAATAGATAAATAAATAAAATTAATTAAACCTATAATAATAAATAATTGAAATTAACTAATAATAAATCTATAATAAATAAATAATTATATATAAATGAATAAATAAATTAAATCCTTAAGAATTTCTTAATATTAAATTAGGATCTTTAAGAATTCCATAGAAGTTTTTGAAATAAGGAATCCTCGCTAGTGGGGAGAATTCCTAGGGATCCTCACTAATTATGAGATTAATGGAATCCCTAGGGATTCGCGTTTCAAAAAAATTACTGATGTACTGTACAGTATTAGCAAAAAGTAATCAGAATTGCAAAAAATGTGATAAATGAAAAACCAATAATTAAAATTGCTTCAAATTTTGTAGATTTTTTACCAAATGTATCATTATTATATATATAAATTATTAGCTTTTTATCTTATTTTTTTATCTCATAATTGATTTTTTAGTTCAAAAAAATAATTGCAAAATATTTAACCTATAAAAAATCTGAAAATTCTGATTATAACATTCAAATTGAAATTTATAAAAAGGTTGAATAATTATAAATTAAAGTTTACATTAAGCTATAAATTTTATTAAAAAAAGTTGACACTTTTTTATTTGTTAGTTATTAAGAAAATTAAGATTAAAGTTTCTTTATTATATTAATCGCAACCTAACCCTAATCCTTAATTTTAGTAAAAAGAACTAAAATTTAAAAATTAAATTTAAATTATAATAATTATAGAGGATTATAATAAAGTCTTTTTAATGTTAGTTTAATAATATTCAAAATATTTGAAAAAATAATATTTAAAATTTATTTTATTTTAATGATTTTTGAGTCAACATTAATGTCAATTTATAGAAAAATTAACTAATTAAGTAATAACCAATTTTTTTAATAAATTAATTAAAGATATATTTTTATATTTATAATTTTTTATTATAATATATATGTTAATTGTTAATGACTAAGGATAATATTAAAAATCTTTATTGAATTTTTATTTTGCTTAAATTTTTAATGGTTTTTTTTTGAAAAAAAAAAAATCAATTGTGAGACAAGGAAATAAGTTAAAAAGCTGAAATTTTATACACTTAATATTAATAAAATTTGAAGCAATTTTAATTGCTGGTTTCTCATTTATTGCATTTTTTGCAATTCTAATTACTTTTTGCTAGCACTGTAACTTTATTAGTCAATCCTTTTAATTCTATTAGTATAGTTCTATTAATTTATTATTAATTCCATTTATTTAAATCAAATTGAATTATAATTTAAAAATTTTCAATCAAATCAAATAATTTTATTAGTTCAGTTTAATTTGGATCAATTTGATTTGTATTTAATAATATTTGATTTTTCCAATTAGTTTTTTAAGTTATAATAGTTGAAATTAATTTAAATAATAAAAAGAGATATTTTATTTTAAATATGAAATATATAAAAGATGATGATTACTGGTGACCGAAATTATGATGATCGAACAGCATTAAAAAAATATAGTGCCGGTAAAAATTGATAATTCTGGCCAACGGTGATGATCACCCGAAGTAAAAATCTATATAATATACCTTTTTATTTATTTTTATATAAAATTCATTATTTTGCATATACAACTAAAATTTAATAATAATATTAGTGTGTAAAAATATAAATATTTATTTTTAAATACAAGCTTGTAATAAGTAACCTATTTTAAAATATTTTATATTATTTTCATTTTGAAAATTTTATTTCAATTGTTTTATTTTAAGTAAATAATTAGAATCCAATTCTATTGTTTATTTAAAATAAACTAATGATGATCTTTTCTTTCTTTAATATAAATTAGTAATAAAAAATAAAAGAAATGAAAAAGAACAACAGAAAATAAGAAGATTTGCAAATTAGAAAGATTTCGTGGAAATCAAAACATCAAAAGTCCAACACTTTGAAAATTTTAGACGAAAAAAAAAAGGTTTTACATATTGTGGCGTCGAACGACTTTGAGCCCCAAATTTGTAGATGATTTGCACATGATATTTACATATTGTGAAAAACCAAAAACAATGGTATTGAATATAATTCATTCAGTAACTTCCATGTGTTTTTTACACATCTCCGAATTAATAATTATTATTAGCGATATAAGTGGCTTGAACTTTGCATGACAGTTAATTGACAGTTTTATATAAAAAATTACCATAAGTGAAAAAACCCATTGTTCATATTCTCATTGTTTTCATTTGAAAAATTATTTTAAACTTATTACATCATATACCGTTTTTATTATTAAGAAATTTCCCGGTGATTGGGAGATATTTGTTTTTATTTTGTTTTGGTGTTTAGTAAAAGTAAGCTTATCTTTTATGTCAAAAATCGATATCTGAAAAAGATAAATAATTTTTAAACAAATAATAATTTACCGGTTAATGAGAACAATCAAAAAAAGGACAATCTCCTCGTGGAATGGGAAATAAAAAAAAACCATGTACACTAAAATTTGAAATCTGTAAAATTATGCAAAGATGCGTGATATTTTTGATGAACGGAGAACAAAATTACGCGTGTTGTTTACTCCTACGCCATTCAGCCTAATTTCGATTATTCAATAGTAAGAAGTAGGAACAACTTGGCGTTTTTTTTTCGTTTGTTTTTTTTTCTTCTCTCGTTAAAACAATTTTCGTCGTAATGGTATAATTTTTAATCAAATTACAATAATTATTATAATCGCTTTCTTTTTCGTGAATAGTTAATAAATAATGTATGTTCACGAGTCTTTAATGCGTGCTAACAAAGGGAATTTCATAGACATTATTCTAAATGGAAGAATGTTTTTATAATATAACACAAATGATTATATATATATATATAATTTTTTTTTTTTTTTTTTTTAAAAAAA